CAATGCCTTTCCAAAAAAGCAGGAGGAATTCCAAGTTTTTTAGTGATGCACGATGATCTATTTACACACAAACTTTCAAAACCTTACTAGCAAAACCCCCTGACCTGATGGGTTTTCTTCCAAATTAATTATTGGAAAGATTTTTTTGTCTTCACCCATATCCTCTGTTTCTCTGCATGCTCATGGCAAGTCAAAAAGGAAGGTTGACATTTCCTTGTATTTCAGAGCTGACACGAAGACTTATCCAAACTTTACACCCCTAACTTTCAGAATACCAACAGGAGCAAATAATTATGTCTGATATCACTACCAGAGGCAGGGCTGGCGTGGGCCATGCTGCCTGGAGCTGCAGCTGCATCCGTGGGGAGATGGGGTTTGGGGCTGGCAGCAGCCCCCACTGTCACACTCCTGCATCCAACCTGTCCTTTCCCAAGGTGGGCTCTGCATGGAAGAAGAAGCTACACCTCCAACAGGCTGAGGATGTCTGTTCCCAGGGAGAGCAGGTAGGATTCTCCATCTCTGAGGTTACTGTTTGCATTTTAATTTTGGAGCTTGGGTTTACTTTTTATTGTTACCGTTGCCCGTCAGAACTTTTGAGAAATGCACACACCCCCCAGAGATTTAGGATCAAATGGAAAACTGAATAAATCAAAGTATTATTGATGATGGATTAAGGCCATTTCCGGCAGGGTAATCTCCTCTCACGGTGCATCTGTTGAGGAGGACTCTGCTATTCTTTTGGGCATTTTTAGGTGTATTAATCAGTACCAGCTGTAACTGGTACCAGCTGTTACTGCTTCTCCTCTCCCCTGGCATTTGCCCAGCCCTTGGGGTGAACTTGCTCTCCCTGATGGGCATTAGGGATGCAGGAGGAGTAGGACACGTGCTGGAGTGATCCCTGTGCTCCTGCAGAATGGGCGTGTGAGGTGGGATGTGGCCATAACCCCTTTCCTGACACACATGCTATCATAACATATTAAAGCATCCATTACCTCTAAACATGAGTAATAGCATTTTTCATGTTAGTGTTCCATGCATTTCACTTATAATTTAAGACTGTTATGAACTAGACTGATAATCAGTCAGAGTTCTGGAATCATTCCTGAACTCTTGCAGAAGTAAAATATTACAGGGCTATGTCAGCCTGGTCAGATACTGTCTTCCTTCATACAGCTGGTACTGCCTTTTCATTCTGCAGCAAAGTGTCTGAGGTCAGGGAGTGCCTTCCTCTTTGTCTGGTCTCTATTAGCTCTCTCTGGAAGAAGTTGTCCCTCTAACAGATTTTTTTTCCCCCCAGCCTGCCTTTTTGGGACCGATCCTTTGAATTTCACAGAAACAAGCTGCTACAGCTTTTGAATGAACTTGCTGCTATTTGCTCTCACTCTCTCCCTCTTCCAGCTGGTAAGTGTTAACTCGTGTTGCCTTTCCTTGCAGGTTTTCATTTCTTATTCCTGGGAAGTACATTTTCACATGGGGGAAAAAAAGAAAGATCCCATAAGTCCCAGCAAATCCATTTAAACGCAGATGTAGCCATTTTACGGTTGTTGCTATGACAGTTTGGCAAAGGTTATGCATACTGTGAAACCCATCTTCTGAGGAGAGAGAGAGATCCATGGGTGAGCAAAGGCAGGAGGAAGGTGGGACCCAGCCTCATCCACGCTTCTTGTTTGGTAGGAAAGGAGAACGTGGGAGGAAACTCTGCCCATCCTGTTATCTCTTCCCCTACGCCCACCAGCACATAAATGGGGCTCGGGGTCACTGAAATCATAGGAGAGGATTGTTTGTGGGAATGGGAAGATGAAAAGGAAATGAGGTTTTGGGTTTTCCTCATTATTTAAGCAGAATTTAGCCCAGACTGGCAGAGAAGCAGTGCAAATCTACCAGAGAACATCTCCTGTCTGAAAGTAGTGTCTCAATCCATGTAGAGCTGCACATGGTCCAACCCTTCATGTAGACATGGACATAACATGTTTAAAAATAATCTTGATATCTCACAGCACTCTTATAAACCCTTGCTCATTAGGAATGAAGCCATATTGAGTCAACTGTGAGGTAACCCTTGCTTGTTAATTCCTTTTTCTCAGTATTTCTCATCGCAAATAAAGCCCAAGAGGAGCCGAAGAATTCCTAGGGAAGCACCATTCATATCTTAAGAAATTGTCACTGTCAAAAGAAAAATGCACCAATAAAGAATATCCAACCCAAAAGATGTATTAAAGAGTCCTAAAGGTAGGATGGATGTGCTTCAAGCTCATTGCAATAAATGCAATTTATCATGGTTACTTTGCTTTCTGTGAAAGGGGTCTGTTAATTTTTTACTCTTACAATGGATTTATGTGAACTCTCATCTTGACAAAATATTTAAATTTTAGTTAAAACCTGAAAAATGCAAGTCAAATACTAAATGCAAGCCAAATATTAAAATATGAGTTGGGACCAAATTAAATGTTGGGTTATTTTTTATAATACTTTAGGAAATAGTCTCAGGATATAAAATTATTATAGTATTATTTACAGGACAGAAAATATTTAAATGAATTTGGCCCAGCAGGGTTTAAATTTTTCCTAACACAATCAGAATATCAGAAGTTGTTTTTTTGAAGCATTCATCTGGACATTCAATGGACAACTTTGTTACTGTAGGATTTATAATCACTCTGCACATTTCATATATATGGGATAAAAAATGCAGCATTTCTTTTGATAGCCTATTATGCCTGACATGGATTCCTTATTACATCTTGTTTGGGAAATTTATCTTATGTGGTAGATTACATACACTTAAAGACAATAACAATAATTTTGAACCATATTTGAGAGTATTTCAGGGTATTTAGCCTGGAATTAGTCCTTTCCCTGAGAGGGCAGCGTTGCTTTGCCCTGTGCAAGTGAGGAACACAGTGTGGCCCCAAGGCAATGCAGTGGATGCAGTGGTTGTGTTTTAAGGTGCATTTAAAGTGATGTGGGAAATTGTGGGCAGAGCGAGGGACATCAGACTGCCAGCTGCCATCCTCTGGCCACCAAATTCTCACTGTTCTTCTGGTCCCTGCACCCACCTGTGTCCCCCTGCACCCTCCAGAACTGCAGGGCCTGGCTGGATAGTCCAGGGCAGACAGGACATCTTTCTCCTCCTGCCTGGGAGGAACATTTCCAGCATCTCAAACTCCCCACCAGCCCCTGACATCCTTTCCACCCAGATGTTTTGAGGAATGGGAAGGAACTGAAAAATCCCCTGACTGCTGATAGGTGAAGGGAGGGAGATACCCGACCTTTGTTTGTGCCACAAACAAATGCTGTCACTCCTCCAAAAGCTCTTTAGGGACTGTCAGGTGTAAAGAGGACCAGGATTACCTTAACCTGAGTCCCCTGAATCTCACCCTGGTAAGAACAGGGGCCACGGAGGGTGGTGTGGGAAGCAGAGGTGGTACCTGCCACACAGGTGTAGCCTGCATCCCTCCCCGTGCTGCCAGCAGGATGGCTCCTTTCAAAGGCATCATAGCTCCAGGCAAATCTGCTCTGCAGATTGTTTCCAGCCTGTGTTCCCCACGGTTCTGGCTCTGTCTGTGCCTTGTAGATATAGTAACTTTGCAGCTTGTAAAGATTTGTTTGCTCTCCCACCCCCTCCCTCTACTCCCTCCTTAAATCAGTGATTTTGTGTTACAGGTACCAGGCAGAGCAGTGGAACAGTGAAGGCGTCCCTGCCAGATCCTCCTGCAGGACTGACAACCAGACCCCATCCTCCTGATGGTGAGCTCTCACAAAGGACCTGGCCATGCAAAGTCAAAGGGAAATCCAGACATCCAAAGGCTGCAGGTTCCTGGTGTTCACAGAGGGGCCCCGCTGAGATAAAGAGCGAGACGCAGATACAGCCAGTACCTGGCTGGCACCTCCCCACATTACCACTGCAGGAATGTTTACTAACAATAAATAGTAATAATGAGATTTTATTACTTCCTGACTCCTAGTCTTACCTACAGTCCCCCAAGGAAAGAGCCATGCCTCTTGGAAGAGCTCCAGTGGGAAACACGGCGCAGCTGCTGCGCAGAGGGTCCCTCCGAGCCCATTACCTGCCGTACCAACCTCCGCAGTGGCTTGAGCTAAGCACAGGCTCTACTTTAATGCATCCATTTTCCAACTTCTCACGCTCCAGCTGTCTGCAAAGGAGCTGAAAAAAATCCCTTCTCGCTCTCTCCCACCACACACTTGTGCAGCAGCTGTAGTTCCCTGTGGTCCCCGTGCTTGGAGAGAGCACGGCGGCAGGACTGGACTTACGGTCTGAAACTGTTTTGTGAAAAGCCAGGCTGCTCCCCCACTCTCTGAAAAACTAATTTCTTTTTTCAGTTTTTCCTGCTTGACTTCTCCCCTCAAACAACAAACATTTTTTCCCCCCTCAGACACGCAATCCTACATAACGTGCGTTTTTGTGCTACGACAAGCGATTTCTCGCCCAGCTTGTGAAAGAATGGACACCAAACAGTGGGGTTGGGGTTGATTTTTAGAAGATCTCCTCACACATACATCTCCTGGTAACCAGATCCATGTGCAGTTCCCCTAGTTCCTCTACAGCAGGACTTCTTCTGGCAGACACTTGGAACTCAGCTTTGGACCGCTATACCTTGGAGTGACAGGTCCAAATGAGCGTGTTTGAGTTTCAGAAGGAATTCCAGCAACAATCAAAATCCTTTCTTCCTGCAGCAGACAGGGAATGTAAAGACTCGAGGACTGCAGCTCTCCAGCTGATACCTTGTTATGCCAAGTTGGAGCACAGAGTAAATTTCTTACAGCCGAGTTATAAACCCCCTGAAAATAGGTTTTATTATGGAAATGCAAACACAAGCATGGCTATAGCAACATGAAAGGCTCTGCTATAATAATGCTTAGATCCAACTCTTTGTGCACAGTTGGCGTAGAAAAGTATTTGATTTTTGTCGGGTTTTTTTGCTGGTACATGTCAGTGTCACTTCACAGTTGGTCTCAGTTTATAACAAAATGCATAAAAATTGTTAGTAATCCTCATTTATAGCTGGGGTCTGAGAAGCACCATCTCAGACATTACTTTACCTATCAAACATGGCTAAAACAGCTATTGACATTTGGAACCACTATTCCTGGAAGGGAAGATGTGATGTTCACAGTTAACTAAGCAGAATGTCTACTGAGTTTAGTCTCTCACGCTGTAAAGCATTAGGCTGACTGAGAAAGCCTTGATAATCAGTTTGTTTCAGACAAGAAGGGGAAAAAAGAGAGGAGAAGGGGAGAAAATCATGAAGGGAATCAGTCTGAGACATTCTGCTTTGCTGTATATTCAAATGCTCTGCATATTTTCAGAATCCTGAGATTTCCCTAAAAAAATACCCTCATGTTTATGTTTCTGTTTTTCAGTTAAAAATAAGAAGGAAAATAAGTAGAGGGGTTTTATTGTGCTCCCACAGTTTCCACCATTTAAAGAAAGTCAGGCTCTTATGGAAAGCTGTGGCCTATTCTGATCTTTGGAGGTGGGTGTAGGGGGGGGAAACAATTCAAATTCTAATAAGGAAATAGGCTGCAAATCTGAAGAAATTAAAATCTCCCCTCAAAATTTTTAGCACATTTTGTAGAGTCACCCTGCCCTAAAACATCCAAATGTAGCAAATCTCATTTCTGAGGATGGAAAGTGCTTTCAAGGGGCCATGTTTTGCTTAAGTGACTTAAGGGACTGAGTTCTGCTCAGTTCAGTGCATTGAGCCCCTCTGTGGGAGCAAGGTTATCACTGTTCTGGCCCCATCTTCACCTTGAAAGCAATCCCTCACCTGTGCCTGTTTTCCTAAAGCAGTTTCAATGATCAGCAGCATGAATCTCTGTTTCACAGGGTCAGCCACATCCTTGGCACTCAGACATCCTTCCCCCATAGCTCGGTAGAAACTTTAGCAAATTTCTTTTGATTTCCACAATCCTGGCACCTCAATTCACTAAGCATCAGCATTCCAAACATAGATAGGATAATAGAATACTTGGAGATAACTTTTGTTTGTTTGTCCTTAATCTGAATATCACTTCCACTCAATGGGTTGATAAATAAATAAGATAATTAAATTTATATGGCCATTTTACAGATGAGGTACCTTGGGAAGTCAAGGGAAAAAAGGGAACACTTTCTAAAAAGAAAATAAAAATTGTAAAAATGTACCCTTTTAAGATTTCAAATATATTTCTCTTTTTTTTCCCCCCCCCCATACACCTCAGGATGTGTCTCCAGCTGGAGAAAGCCAAGCAAGTGCCATGTGTTTGTAATACACATATAACTGTATTGGCTCTTCTGCTGCTATTGTGGAGCTCTTGGAGATACTCAGCATAAAATATAAACCTCTATAAAGGAGCATAAAGTTTAAATGTAAACTTTGTGGTGAGATCATGTAGCCCAGGCCAATTTGGATTGCCTTTTCATTTTGATGCTCTGCTTCCATAAGAGCTATCAAAGAACAACTACTAAATTTTATTCAGTTTTTAAAACTTCACATCATACTTATGGTATTATTACCTTGCACATACTCTGGCTAGACCAAGAGGTAACATTGTCTTTGTTTCCTGATTGGAGAGAGAAAAACTAAGGCCTCACATTTTCAGAAAGGAAAAGTCTTTATAGGTAGGAGATGTACAACCATAATGAAGTTCAAAATTGGGATTTGCCTCTGGTGGGCATCTGGCCCTCAACCAGTCTCACTCAAAGCTGTTTACAGAGGCTTAGAGGAATTTCCAGCAGTCTTTTCACACATGGATAGTTTGTAATAGTTTGTTGTTTGGGATCCTGGATTGTATATTCATCAGTTTGCAATGATTTGTTGTGACAGTACTTAAAGGACTCATGAGTGATACTCTGCAGGCAACAGAATGAATAGCATATTGCCATGAGCAAGGTATTTTTACTGTTCTTCTGCTGACTTTTATGTTTACTTTACAGCTGTTATTTAATATGCAGATACTTTCTTAGTATTTTTTTTTTTTAATTGGAATAACTGGTTCTGTCAATTTTTGAACCCTCCCAATGGGAAGTGGCAATGTGGAGCCTAAGTGGGAACAACATTTTATTTGGTGTTGGAAGTTTTGTCTGCTCATGATCAGGTCTGGATTTGTCTGTTGCAGACTTGTTTGGATTTTTTAGCTTTCCATTATTTGACTCATATCAGTGGTGAAGCAATTAATATTTGTCTGAAAAGTTTCCATCAAAATTGTCCTTTTATTTAATTCCTAACATTCTCTAGACACTCAGCGAGCCTGTTTCCTGATTTTTATAGTCTAGTTTATTGCTACATGCCTAGGAATCTGTCATTTTTTTCTGATGCTTATTGGTGGCTGATAATTTTTAATTTATTGCCACTTCCTTGTTTTTCCATCATATTTGTTGACGTAGTTATGGCTGGAGTTACATGCACACAACCAGTAATGCAATTAGGGAGTACTTTGTCTTTTGGCTAACCAAAAAAACCTCCCTACAAATGATTAATAGATGAAATATAGAAAGTGTAGCCTTTCAAAGTTGCCAAAACGTGGAAAATTTTACAATTCAGTGGAGTCATCTGTTTAACAGCCCCTGTTTTGTTTTGTGTATTACTCTCCCATACATATGCTTTTGGTTTGGAATCTTTATTGGTTTTGTCCTTTATTTCCACTCTTTCCTTAGTACAGACACATAGGAAATCATAACTGAAATAATATTCATAGTTTGGTATATGGTGTGAATAGAAGAAAAAACTCTCTGCTTCCATCTGAGAAGCAGACCAGGAGAAAAAAATAAAAATAATAAATTTGTATCAGACCTGGTGCAGTGATGTTTAAAATGGAGGCAGGATCAAGTCTTTATAATTTTTAATAAAAGAAATAGGTTAGGCCTAGGAAGAAAAAAAACAAATAAAGATAACTGAAATATTCTTGTAGTGAATTATTATCAAATCCTTGGAGCTGTTTAGCCCTTTACATTGTCAGGTAAACCTCCTCATGGGATTTGAACGTGTATTTATTGATTTTGTTATTAAAAAATACACTTGAAATTTTGAAAAATACGCATCAAAATCTGGTTTATGCAGAGTATTAAATTTATACCATTGAAGGTTGAATTAAAATCTGGGCCATCATTTGTAAACCCTAAAACATTTCTGGCAATTTTGGTGAAAGCACAGAATGACTGTTCAAAATCAATTTCTTTTTAACCTCATCTCTGTATGTCATCAGTTAAAAAATATCTGCCAGCACTATTAATGGCTAAGGGAAATCGGCATTTCAAGATTTATTTCGGTGGGGTGGGGGGAGCTTGTGAGTGAAAATTCATAAAATTCATAAAAACTGTGCTTTCAGACCTGGTAAAAACTGTAATTAGTGTGTTTGGGGTTTTTCAGTCCTATTTGAATGGAAAAACTATATCCATGGGAAAAAAATATACCAATATGCATAAGAATTAATTGTACCAGCAATAGCAAAAAATCACCTGTCAAGGCACTGCAATGGGCAATATCCTGAACTGACCTATGAAACTATTTAATTAGCTCCAAAACTAGCAAATAAAATTTGCACTCCATGAGGTAACAAATGCTCATTGTGTCAATGAATGCAAAGGAGAAGGGAGGTAGTTTGTGAAAACTCTTGCTTGGCTCTTGATAACTTTAATCACATGTGCTTTTCCTGAATCCACAGCCCGTGGAGTCATGTGATTATGGGAGACTTCTCAGTCTGATTCAAATTTAACTTCCCCTGCATCCAGCAGTGCTAGAATTTTGAACATTAAAAGCCTGTAGCATGTAAAAATAAAAAAAAAAAAATTCCTGAAATTTTTACTGAAAAAAAATTAACAAATGAAGGGCCTGACTCATAATTTTCATAGTCCAAAGGAGAATGCTCTTTAAACTCATGGTATGTTCTTGCTCAACTGGCCCAGAAAGCACCAAAAAACCCAAATCCAAACCACTTTAAAA